TATATATATATATATATATATATACAGAATATATTCAAGGATTCAAGTTTCTTTATTGTCATACGCATAGCATGTGGTTCATGAGGTGGAACGAAATTGTGTACACTAGTTCCTCACACAATTCTCATAGGTTCTGTTTGGCTATAATTCATATATCATATATATAATTATTAATTAATTATATATATGGGGGTTATATATTTTATATGTAAATTATTTTACAATAAAATTAAATGCAAATTAGTTCACTGTGTAAAAAAAAACAGATGCTCTTGACTAAACTACCACAAAACGCACAATAAAACCCATAAATAGCCATACACAGCATCACATGGGTAGGCTAGCTGTAACAGAAAGACACACATGGACTGGTGCTCTCACACACACATAAACAAACTTCAAACCATCTGGAGTGTCCAGATTAATTTCAGATTGTTCTCTGTTGTCTTTCCAACCCAATTCACCTCTCCCCCCAGTCGTATTTGTGTCTGTCTCTCATTCTGTCTTCAGTTGTCTCTCCTTTCGTCTGCCATCTCCTCTTCTGCTTGATCCCCCTCTGCCTCCTTTTGAGCAGATGGGATGAGAAGAATTCAGCAAACACTTGCATCGAGCCATATTGTCGCACCATACATGGGGGATTTCAAGTAGTCCAGAGCTTAGCCTCTGTGTTGACATAGCATCAAGTTCTTCCTTTTTATGTTCAAATGTTTGTTTGGGGAAGTTATTCTGCAACGGATTTCCAATGAATGTTCTAAGTAAGACGACAAGACCTTACATACTCACTGAAACAAATGAGCATGTAAGCAGAACTACTTGTTTGATAATGAGTTTATTTGATAACTTGTTTGAGAACAATTCAATAATTGTCATTGTTTTGGATTATTTGATTTAGTTTATTTGATTGGGGACTGCATGGCAGGCATCTATTATTCTACACCTCGGAAGTGTGTCTACATTTCTATCTCCGTTAATGTGGCCCGATCCGCAATGTCTACCCTCACAAAAGTTATATCAAAACGACCGGCTCGGCCCTGGGATGTGTGCTATTACTTTTATTGGCATTTTGAGTTATTTCACCAACTCCAGGAACTAGTTGGTGACTGCCCACTTATTATTCTAGACCTGATAAGAGTATCTTTTTCAACTTTAATGTGGCCCAAACCGCAACGTGGACCCCCACAAAACTTACATCAAAACAACTTGCCCGGCTCTGGGAAGTGTGCAATTGCTTTTATTGGCATTCGCAGTTACCATGGTGACATATTTTGCTCACAAAAATGCCAAATTTCCCATAGGAAATGAATAGGAGAAAACTTCACAGAAACTGAGTAACGTATGGAGCCATTTTGGTTCAACACGCAAGAAAGGCAGTGCAATATGCAATGCATGGAAAGCACATATTATTACCTATTATCACCTATTATTATTAATATTAATTAACATTAATTATTATTGTTAAAATTGTAGATATTAATATAAATTATGATTAATATTAATAATCAATATTTAATATTAATTATCAATATGAACATTATCAATAATATTTATTAATTGTTAATAAAATGTTAATCTTCCTCCTCTTCTTTCGGCTGCTCCCTGTGTTAGGGGTCACTACAGCGAACTGTCGCACAAAGACTTGGCAGGTATTTTTACGCCGAATGCCCTTCCTGATGCAACCACAGACCACCGAGCTACCACAGCCCTCTGTGTGGAGCAGAGAGCTGCTATCTAGGACACCCGGAGGAGCAGATGGTGGGGGTTAAGGGCCTTGCTCAAGGGCCCAGAGTGGGATGAATAAAGATGGGGGCAGGTGTGGGTGCTTCACCTACCCCACTCACATTTTTGATGTTGTTGGAGCCGGGGCTTGAACCGGCAATCTTCCGATCACAGGCCCACCTTCTCTAACCTCTGTGCCACCACTCCCCTAATTAATAATATGTTAATAATAAACAATACATTAATAATATATTAATAAACAATAATATTAATAATCAATAATTAGTATAATTATTAAAATTCATAATTATTATTAATAATAATATTTAATAATAATAATAATTTAGAAATAAATAGGCAGTCCGCTTCAAATATCCTGATGCATGCTCAATAATCCAGGTAGAAAAAAATCTAAAAATGTTCAATCTGGTCCTCTGGACATTCATAAAAACAAAACAAAGCAAAAAAATCTAGAAACGTTTCGTCTTTCATCCGAAAGACTTCCTCAGTCTGAGGTGCTGTATTCAGCTCAGTCTCTTAAATAGCACCTTCTCAGAGTGGATCAACCAGTTTGCTGCTGACAAACAAAACCAGCTGATCACATGCTCAAGAAGGACCATCAGCCTAACAATGGGTCATTAGCACACTGATGGCTGTTTTACTGAGCTGAATACAGCACCTCAGACTGAGGAAGTCTTTCGGATGTAAGACGAAACATATCTAGAATTATTTTTTTTTGCTTTGTTTTGTTTTTTGTTTTTTTGAATGTCCAGAGGAACAGATTGAACTTTTTTAGAGTCCCCTTCAAAGTTTCTCCAGGAACTTTCTAGTTTGAGTTTATTCCTGTTGGGGGTTTAAACGGTTCAATGTGATTTTGTTAGTTTTGGTTATGTTGTTCTTCTACTAACCTGTAAATAACCACATTTCACAATCACAAAAATTGTGACAAACAATATGAATAAGATATGTCTTCATTGGGAAATTTAAGCACTGGGTTTTCTTTTTCTTGTTGTTGCCGTCGTTGTTGTTGTCCTCACAATTTGAAATAATGAGATAAATAAGCCTCGAGTGAAAATGTGGGCACATTTGTGGTTAAATGTGGATGGATGGATGGATGGATGGATGGATGGATGGATGGATGGAT